ACCAGTAATAATCAGATACATACAGATTAGAGATGCATGTACCAACATCTCAGTGTTAGTAGCAAGAACAATGAGTTTTTCTGTAAGAAACAGCATATTTTAAAATGAAATGGAGATCCTTTTTAAAAGTTAAAAACTCATTCAATTTTATGTCTTACAGTGTCTATACTGAGTTCAATATTGTATAAGTGTATTAATTCAACTGTAAACCTAAAAATTTACAGCCACTTTTGAAGGAGATGCATCTTAGCTCTGGAAATTGTTATTGAATATGTCAATGCTGTTGTAATGAAATGCTTCTTCTGATTGTGTGGTTATTAAATAAATAATTTTTTAAAAAACAAAAAAAAATCCATCAAGGGGCTGGGGAGATGGCTCAGCGATTAAGGACACTAGCTGCTCTTACAGAGGACCTAGATTAGGTTCCCAGCACCCACATGATGGTTAACATCCATCTGTAATTCCAGTTCCAGGGGATCCAATGCCCTCTTCTGGCCTTCATAGTCATTGTAAAATACTCATACAAATAAAATTATAAATAAAAAAAAAAATCCATCAAGGGGCTGGGGAGATGGCTCAGCGATTAAGGACACTAGCTGCTCTTACAGAGGACCTAGATTAGGTTCCCAGCACCCACATGATGGTTAACATCCATCTGTAATTCCAGTTCCAGGGGATCCAATGCCCTCTTCTGGCCTTCATAGTCATTGTAAAATACTCATACAAATAAAATTATAAATAAACAAGAATTTTAAAAATCAAAAAAAAAAAAAGGTCTAAAAGAAAATAAAGGGTGGGAGGGCTGGAGAGATGGCTCAGTGGTTGAGAGTGGGTACTGCTCTTGCAGAGAACTGAAGTTCAGATCCCTGCACCCTCATCAGGCAGCTCACAACCAACCGTTAACTCCAGCACCAGGGGGTTCCAATGTCTCTGGCCTCTAAGGGCACCTGCACCTATGGGTACATACCCATATACATAACTGAAAATAATAAAAATAGGCCAAGCATGGTGGTATACTCCTTTAACCCAACCTCTCAGGAGGCAGAGGCAGAAGGATCTCTAATGACTTTGAGGCCAACCTGGTCTACACAGCAAGTAGGACAGTCAGGGGTACAGGGAGACCTTGTCTCAAACAAATATTTTAAAATAAAACTATAAAAAAATTTGTGATGTATGGTAGTGCACTTGGGAGACAAAGAAGAATAAGAAGTTCAAGGTCATCCTCACCTATGTAGTGAATTCAAGGCCAACTTAGGCTACATGATACCCTGTCTCAAAAATAAATATAATATAATTATGATTTTTTAAAAAACAAACAAATTTTAAATAGGAAATCCACAGTAAATAGCAGAGCACATACCATAAGACTCCATGTATAGACACCATGGTAAAAACTTAAAAAAGGAAGCCAGGAACCAGAATGAGGGTGCACACCTTTAGTCCCAGCACTCAGGAGTCAGAGGCAGGCAGTCTCTGAGATGGAGGCCAGCCTGGTCCACACATCAAGTTCCAGACCAGCTGGGGCTACAGAGAGACCCTGTCTTCCCCCTACCCCCCAAAAAAAGAAAGCCAGGCAGCAAAGGAGAGAGGAAAGGAAGATCTGGAGCAGGAACTCTGGGAAAAGACATGACAGGGAAGGGTGGGGAGCCTCAGAAAGAGCCCAGAATAGAGCCAGGGGGAAGGGTTAGGAGGAAGAAAGCCACTGTGTCTTCTTAGGAAGAGCATTCTGAAACACTACCGCTATGGACTCTTCCCTCACATAACTAGGAAAAGATGAATAAACAAGGGCTGTGCCCTAATTAGGTCTTCTAATCGCTTGGATCTGTCCTCTAGACCAGAATGCCTGTGTACTGTGTCTATCATGATCTCTTCCCCAAGGCTAGGTAGGAATCCCTCATGTTCTTGTTCCCAAGGCTAGCTAGGAAGGCTAAAGTTAACCCCAAGGGCTATGGAGCACACTTAAAAATCACTGACCAGGGGTTGGAGAGCTGGCTCAGCAGTTAAAAGCACTGGTTGTTCTTGCAGAGGACCTGGGTTCAATTCCCAGCACCTACATGGAAGTTAACAACTGTTCCTAACTCCAGGGAAATCAGATGCCTTCTTCTGATCTGCACAGGCACTGCATGACATCGGTGCACTTACATACATACAGTAAACACATTCATACACATAAAATAATAATAATTTAAAAAATAAAAAGAATCACCGGCCAGGGGCTTGGAGACCCAGTTCTGCAGCTAAGAGCACTGGCTGTTCTTGCAGAGGACCCAGGTTCAGTTGCCAGCACACACATGGCGGCTAACAACTATCTGTAGCTCCAGGTCCAGGACTCCAATGACCTCTTCTGGCCTCCACAGGGATTGAGCAACAAGTGTGTACTTATACACATGCAGGCAACACATGCATACACACAAAATAATTTTCTTAAAAATAAAAATCACTGGTTGGGGCTGGAGAGATGGCTCAGCAGTTAGAGCACTGACTACTCTTGCAGAGGACTCAGGTTCGATTCCCAGCACCTACATGGCAGCTACAAACCATCCTTAACTCCAGTTCCAGGGGAATCCAAAGCTCTCTTTGGACCTCCGTGGCATTGCACGACACGGGTGCACTCACATACATGTGGGCAATATATTCATACACAAGAATAATAAAATACTTTAAAAAAAAAAAAATCACTGGCTAAGGGGGCTGGAGAGATGGCTCAGTGGTTAAGAGCACTGGTTGTTCTTGCAGAGGACCCAGGTTTCAGTTCTCAGCTCCCACATGGCAGTTAACAATCCATAAGTCCAGTTCCAGGGGATCCGACGCCTTCTTCTCACCTCTGCGAGCATTGCATAACATGGGTGCATTTACATGCATGTAGGCAATACACTCATACATGAAATAAAAATAGTAAAAGAATTTAAAAAAAAAAATCACTGGCAAAAAAATGATCTACAGTAAATCCTGTGGGCTTATCCTGCAAAACAAATGCAGAATGCAACCATTTTTTACCACCTCCTTGTATCCTAGTGAGTATCCTTTGGCAGACCAGCCTCCCTGATCCCCCACTAATCACACTGCAGTGAGCCTGTTAAAACCAGTCAGATGTCATTCTGCTGCAAACCCAACAACCCTTATTTTACTCCCTCTGTGCCTATGTGGAATGAAGAATGACTGCTGCCCACAAATCTGGCCTTTGTCTTCTGCTACAAGGCAGTTAACCTCTAGGCCCCTGGAATGTCCTGTTGCAGTTATCTGAGGATATCAGCCAGGCAGTCAGTATGAGATTTCTGCAGGAAATGTATTCTAAAGTATTAGTCCAAAGCCCTGGGAAGGGCTGGAGACTAAAGGTTAGCCATGTAGTCAGTATGTGATTAAACTCCAAGGAAGCAGGGTGTGGTGACATATCTATAATCCCAGCACTCAGGACACTGGAGCAGGATTGCTAGGATAGCCTGGACATAGTAAAACACGCCTGTAATCCTAGCACTTGGGAGGCAGAGGCAGGAGAGGTAGATCAGGAATTCAAAGTTATCCTAGGTGCCATATGAGACCATCCTAAAGGCTCTGAGGCCAACCTGGGGCATATGAGATCCTGTCTCAAAACAAAAATTTGAATGAAACTCTGGTCATCAAAGGTTCAAGTGAATGTCCTACCTCCTTGTTACACATAATGCCTAGGGCTGCGGCCTGGACTGCACTGGGAGGTCAATGGGAAGTTTCTCCTTCTGACCCCTCGGTTCTGCCCACACCCCATACATCTCATCCTTTGGCTAGGTGTGTTTCCTTTTAGTTTAAGAAAAGAAAATTTTGTGACTCATTCTAGCAGTTTACTTGAGGGTCTCATGAGGACCACAGGTTTGTAACTGGTATCTCAGGGCATCTCATGAGGACCGTGTTCCCTAACTATGCAGTCTACTGAAGTCTGCTGCCTGTGCCCACCTCAACATGTCTGCTGTGAGCTGCAACCATGTCAACTAAACTCATTTCTTACTCCTCTCCCACTGCCTCACAATCACCAATTCATTCAAGGACACCCAAAAAACAGAAGCTTCCTCAGATCCATTGGCTTAACACCCCCACTTACACCCAGGTGTGTTCAGTCTTTTGACACTAATATGACATTGTCATCTACAAAGCTCACAATCTAGAATGGCACAATTACCAAAAACCAAAATCAAACCCAACAAACTCATGTCTTAAGTTTCTGATTTTTGGTTTAGGCCACATTTATAGACGTGTGAGCCACCCACTTCAGTGGGGCCTCTTCCAACCCCACCTCAAACCCCCTTCCCCTCCAACGTCTTTCCAGCTCCACTTTACGCTTCTTGAGCACATCACCATGTTTACCATACCACAAATTCTATTCCTTATTTCTTCTCCATCTCTCCACAGGAGAACACTTGCCCCAAGGGGGAAAAACTGTTTTGTTTTTTCCCGGGACGAGAGTATGGTGCTGCAGCTCAAACCTAGTCTTGTGCACACTAGCCAAGTGCCCTACCTCTGAGTTTCACCCTCAGGAAGGCAGGGACTTTTGTATTTTGTTCTCTGTTGGAGTCCCTGGAGCAGTCTGCTGAATGTTCAATATGAGCTAGGCCACCCCACCTCCACTTTTTCCTTAAAAGGACAAGTTGGCAAAAACGGGAGAACTGAACAACAGGAGACGTTTGTTAAGGGAGATGAAGAGCTGGCAACACTGAAGATGTCAGGAGAGCTGGGCCAGCCTGAGGAGGCATGGTGGCACTAGCCCCATGCTTCCGTGCTGTTGACCATGGAAGGGCCCTTCTCTGGGCCTTGCTCCCCGAATGACAAAGAGCTGGAGCAGCTGCATGAAGTGCCCTGAGACTACTATGGGGCAGGCCAGGACGGAAGAGGGAGCAGGAAATTCCTACATGGTGCCTTACAACCTTCTGTAACTCCGAGTCCAGGAGCACCAATGCCCTCTCCTGGCCTCCTTGGGAATTGCGTGGGTGCATGATAATGAGGGACAGAGGGAAGACAAAACTTCATCAGGTAGGGTGACTTTTATTTGAAAGCAAAAATACCCGATTTGAGGATTCATATGTAATCTGTAAAAGTTTTTAAAAAAACAAGGAAAGAAAAAACAGAACTCAAAAGGCCTGGGGCAAGGAGAAGGAGGGTGGTAGGTCCTGGACAGGTAGGGTCAGGCCACATAGGGGAAGCTCAACAGCAGCCCCTCATGAGGATCTAGACTCAGGCTATCCAGCTCCAGGGAGGTTCCCTCCTTACGACCTGGGTGAGTACTGCGTACCAGGTTAGCACTGGCTGGCAGGCTGGTACTGGCTGGCAGGTTGGAGGCCCCTAGCTTGGCGGACTGGCTCACATCCTCAAAGTTGAGCACCACTAGGTAACGCTCATTCTGGTCCCAGTGGCGGACGTAGGAGAAGAGGCCAGATGTAGAGGAGAGTGCATGGAAGTCCCCGTGCAACAGTGAGCGCTCCTTACCCCGCTCCTCACTCAGCCACCGGAATAGGGAAAGGAGGGAGCCAGGATCTTCTTTCTGACCCTGAAAATGAAGGGAGAGGTGAGGGGACTTCCTGGACATTCAACAAGTCACCTGCCCACCCTGAGGACGAGGCCTAAAACCCTCACCTTCACTGTCATGTTGGAGGTTACAGGCCCAGAGTTACGAGAGGGGCTAGATTCATTCCACAGCATGAATGGGGCCTCCATGGGCTGAAGAACAGAGAGAACAGGACTTTAGTAAAAGTTGTAAAAAACTTACAAGTTTAAGAAACCATTTTAGATTTATTTTTATTATGTGTATGAGCCTGCATGTATGTAAGTACACCCATACAATGCCCAAGGAGGCCAGGAGAGGGCATTGGTGCCCCTGGACTTGGAGTTACAGAAGGTTGTAAGGTACCATGTAGGTCCTGGGAACTGAAGCTGGGTCCTCTGCAAGATCAGCCAGTGCTCTTAACCACTGAGTCACCTCTGTAGATCCAAGGGAAGAGGACTTTAAAAAGGGGCTAGGTCCACTCCCCTCCTCCAGGTCCCCATTTTTATTTTATTGTTCTGTGATGTTCTGCTAGTAGACCACTAGGTGGCAGCACCCCATCACAGCCTTACACCTCTGCTTACTTATCTGGTCTTCCATTAAACCGAGCTCCGAGGGGCTCAAAGCTGACCCACAGAGCAGAGTACCACTGTCAAACCACTAAATGGTGGCTATCCTATTGAACATCTTACCAAGTACCAGGCATTCTCATTAAAAATAGGTACTTGGGGGCCAGTGGGATGGCTCAGTGGGTAAAAGCACCTGCTGTGCAAGCCTGACAACCTGGGTTCTGAAACCCAAAAAGAGAGAATCAATGCCACAAAGCTCTCCTCTGATCTTTGTGTATGCGCTCACACACAATCACATCACATCTTAGACATACACACACGTGCGCACACACGTACATGCATGCTTTGGAAAAAAAAGCCTTGCAGCCAGGCGTGGTGACGCACGTCTTTATCCCAGCACTTGGGAGGCAGAGGCAGGCATATCTTTTTGAGTTCGAGACCAGCCTAGTCTACATAGTGAGTTCCAGGACAGCTGGGGCTACAAAGGAGACCCTGTCTCAAAAAAAGACAAAAAAAAAAGCCTTGCATTAAATGTGGTAATGCCAGAACTTGGGTGGCTGAGTTCCAGGAGGATGAGAAACTCAGGACCAGCTTGGGCTACAGAGTAAGTCTGAGGCCAATCAAGCTACACAGCAAAACCCTGTTTAAAAAACAAAAAACAGCCAGGCATGGTGGCGCACACCCGTAGTCCCAGCACTTGGGGGGCAGAGGCAGGCGGATCTCTTTGAGTTCAAGGCCAGCCTGGTCTACATAGTGAGTTCCAGGACAGCTGGGGCTACAGGGAGACCCTGCTTCAAAAAGACCAAAAAAATGAAATAAAAAAACACAGGGGCTGGAAAGATGGCTCAGCAGTTAAAACCACTGGCTGTTCTTGCAGAAGACCCAGATTCAAATCCCAGCATCCACATGGCAGCTAACAACAACTGTCCATAATTCCGTTCCAGGGGATATGACACCCTCTTCTGTCCTCCATGGGTACTGCATAGCATGGGTGCTCTTATATACATGCAATCACACATAACACATAAAAGTAAAATTTTTTTTAAAACACAAGAACATGGTACAGAGTCACTAACTAGGTGAAGGACTAGGAATCCACTCAGTTCCACCTCAAGGCTGGTGACTGCTGCCATCCCCAGAAATCATGATGTGCTAAAGAAACAAACAGCACTTCCCCCAGCTATGCTGGGGAGAGAATAAGCAGTACCTGTCCAGGAAGAGCAGCTGACTGCAAGCCGATCTCATCCCCATAGTTGAACACAGGGGTCCCTGGCAGGGTAAAGAGCAGCAGCTGGTAGAGTCGGAGGAACTGGGCTGGTAGGAAGGACGTCAGGAATCCTGCCTGAGACAACTGCAGGAAGACATGCCAGTGAGCGCCTCCACTTCCCACTAAGCCCCAAGCTGGTGGCCCCACACCCACCAGCATGGTACTCACACTCCAGCTGCACCAGTGACTGCCAGTGGCATTCAGATACTGGGTGACTAGGAATTTTGTATGCTCCCCAGTGTAACTAGACTTTGACAGATATGAGCTAGTCACCAGCAGGTCCTTGGTGGATTCAAGTAGGCTCAGGATTTGCTGCAGGTCAGAGGAGTCAGTCCCTGCAATCAAAAGCCTGCACCAACCAAGGGTAGGTGAGGAAGAAGAGAAGTGAAGAAAGTTTTCTAGACCAGGAAACTCCCCCTTCTCATGGCTTAGCACTCCGTCAGGGGGTTCCCACAATGGACTCAGTCAGGGCAGGGTGTCTGGCACCTACTTGTCTTCACTGACGCTCTTGGTAATATTCTGCCACTCAGTCAAGTATGAGGATGCACCCTAGAAGGAAAAAAAGTAGAATCTGGAACAAGGACCATGACTCAGGCCAGGCTCAGACCCTCTCTTCTCACCCAAGCTTTGCCTATCAATGAGCAAGGGGCACTTACTGGCAGCTTTCCCACATCCTGAACCTGGAATCCATCCACACCAACTTGCAACCAAAAACTCAAAGCTTCCTACAGGGGATAAAAGAAGAGAAAAGGTATCAACCACAGGCAAATCCTCGCCCACCATGCACTTCCCCATGACCTCTGAAAAAGTTGCCGTGCCTGGGTCTGGTTCTCCCAGTTCAAAGGTCAGCCCTTCACTGCCTCCTAGCAATGCTCTTAGTGTACTACAGCTTTTTTTTTAACTTTTCTAGTCTTGCCTTAAAAGGCTACAGAAGGGCCGGGCATGGTGGCGCACGCCTTTAATCCCAGCACTCCGGAGGCAGAGGCAGGCGGATCTCTGTGTTCAAGGCCAGCCTGGTCTACATGGTGAGTTCCAGGCCAGCTGGGGCTACAGGGAGACCCTGTCTCAAAAAAAACAAACAAACAAAAAAGCTACAGAAAAGTCCCAAGAGAGTAAGAGTATCCATGACTAGAACTCAATTAACAGTCAGTATGTGGCTTGCTAACATCAAGTTTGGAGGTGAAGAAACAGGCTCTGACAGGCAAGACATGCCCAAGATCACAATCAGGGAGTAGCAGAGAAGACTTAAATACGGGTCAAGACCTCCGGCCTTGTACTCACTCCTCTCCCAGTTTCCTGAGCATAAGTACAGGCACTGGTGGGAGCAGAGGCAAGACAAAAGATTGAAATTCCAAGCACAGCCTGAGGGCAGCTGAGATGATATGAAAGGAGGCCAGCTCTGCAGAACTGGCCCAGGCCTGAAGGTATCATAAGCCCTAACTTCAGCTGGGACACAGCACAGAACCCCTTCCCCATGCCCCTTTTCTTCCCTTTATCTCTCCTAGGTTTTCAATTTTTTTTAAAAGATTTATTTTATGTGTATGAGTGTTTGCCTGTATGTGTGTGTGTACCACATGCATGCCTGGTACACAAGTGGAGGCCCGAAGAGGGAGTCCAAACCCCTGGAACTGGAGTTACAGATGGTTGTTAGCTACCATGTGGGTGCTGGGAACTGAAGCTGGGTTCTCTGCAAGAGCAGCCAGTGCTTTTTTTTGGCTTTTTTTTTTTTTTTTTTTTGGCTTTTTGAGACAGGGTCTCCCCGTAGCCCCAGCTGCCCTAGAACTCCCCATGTAGACCAGGCTGGCCTTGATCTCACAGAGATCCGCCTGCCTCTGCCTCCCAGGTGCTGGGATCAAAGGCGTGCGCCACCAGGACCAGCTGCAGCCAATACTCTTAACCACTGAGCCATTCCTCCAGCTCTGAGTTTACCATCTGAAACTTTTTTGAGGGGAGGGAGGGCTTAAGACAGAGTCTCACCCCAGGCAAGTCTCAAATTCAAACTATCCTCTAACTTCTGAGCCTCCAGTTCTCAAGTGCTAGGATTACAGACTTCCAACTTGTCAGTAACTCTTAACAGACCTCTAGCAGGAAGTCATGGTGGCTCATGCGTGCAACCTTAGCACTTGGGAGGTGGAGGCAGGAGGACTACGGAGCTCAAGATCATCCCTGGGTACAGAGTTCTAGAAGCCACCCTAGGCTACAAGAGACCTTGTCACAAGACAAAACAGAATACAAGAGGTCTCTCAACAACTGGCAAGGACCAAACTAGACCATACCAGGTGTCTGACCCAAATGCTGAGAATCCAGAATTCTCCTTCAGAATCATAGCCAACAGCAAAGTGTCAGGATCTGCTTCTACTTTTGTTATGTCTAACCACCCAGGTATCAGGAACTGAGGTGTCATTACAAGCGCTACCCCAGGCTGGTGGTTATAGAGTCTGAGCCATCACCTTGAAGAAAGAAAGATTAGAGAAAGTCACTTGAGACTTCAGATTTGGGCACATGAAGCTCCTGAACCTCAGCTTCCTCATTGACTAGCAACAACAGGTTATTTTGTGTGATTATGCAAAGAATTATAAAATACTTGGCATAGGAGCTGGAAAGATGGCTCAGTAAAAATACTTGCTGCTCTTGCAGAGGACCTGGATTCAGTTCCCATCATCCCCATGGCGGCTCACGTGGTCTGTAACTTCAGGTCCAGAGGATTTGACACCCTCTTCTGGCCTCTGAAGGCACAAGGCACATGTGTACATACACATAACTTGCAAGCCAAACACTCATATACATAAAATAAAAATAAATCTTAAGCCGGGCATGGTGGCGCATGCCTTTAATCCCAGCACTTGGAGGCAGAGACAGGCGGATCTCTATGAGTTCAAGGCCAGCTGGTCTACATAGTGAGTTCCAGGACAGCTGGAGCTACAGGGAGATCCTGTCTCAAAAAGACCAAAAAAAAAAAAAAATTTTTAAAAAAAAAAACCAGGGCTGGGTGTGGTGGCACACACCTTTAGTCCCAGCACTTGGGAGGCAGAGGCAGGTAGATCTCTAGGCCAGCTGGGGCTACAAGGAGACTCTGTCTCAAAAAAACCAAAAAAAAAAAGAAAAAGTGCCTATAAGTGAGTTGAAAATATTTTTTAAAAATAAAACACATGGCATAGACCCAGCCACATAGTAATACCCTATGCTTATAATATCAGCTGGGCTCCATTCCAATCACATCAAACAAAAACTGGGAAGCCAGTCAGGACAGGATTCCTACAAAGAAAGAAAGGATTTCCTATCACAAAAAGAAGAAAAATCAAACTTCCAGACTGACATCTGAGAAATTCCCTTCCTGGTACTGTCTTGCCCCTGGAGTCAAGGAAACAAGAAAAATGAGTGGTCAGAAAGTAAGAAAAAACAACTGTGCGCTGTTGGCCTCTCCTTCCGGCATTGGGAGAGGGTATTCCTACTTGTGGGAGCCAAGCTAGGTATACAGGGCTTGCTGTGAACAAACTAACGCAGCCCCAGTATCCATCTGCCACCAGCCACTAGACTCACCTTCATTTTGGTGGCCACAGTGTCAGCCTGAGAGGGGAGGAACCATGGATTCTGGCCATGGTAGTTAGGAGTGAGGTCCAAAATGATGTGAATGCCTAAAACAATAAACAGGCAACAGAAAGTCTTTAGGACTAAAGGGAAAACAAGGAAATCCAACACAAGTCTGCTGAGTGTACCCATGTATAACATGATAAAAAAGCTTGGATCAGAATGAACCCTGCCAAACCCCTCAATCAGTTTTGTAGTACTGCAAAGAAGTTTGAGCTATAGGGCCCTGGGCTCCCCACCCACAAAGTGGTCAGTTTCCTCATTGAAGTTTTGGATTTTTTTTTTTCTTCAGAGTCACATATATCCCAGGCTGTCTAGCCTCAAATATTTAGCTGAGGATAACCCTCCTGCATCCATCTCCCAAGTACTGGGATTACAGGTGTGAGCCTCCACATCGTTAATGTGGTGGCTGGGGATCAAACTCAGGGCTTCATACCTGATAGGCCAATACTCTTACCAACTGAACTACAATCCCAGCTTCTATACTGAGTTACAAAGCAGTATTTGAATTCCCCATACACACACAAAGGATTCACAATTTTATCACTGATTTAAGGAAATAGGAATTAAAAAAAGAAAAAAAAAAAAAAGATTATGTTAAAGCCTACATTTTGCAAATAAGGGCACTAAAGCCCAGAAGTTAAAGGATCTGCTCCAGAATGCTCAGCCAAGCCAGGCATCGTGTTGCACACTTGAGAGATGGAAGCAGGAGTAGGACCAGTAGTACAAGATCATCCTTGGCTACATAGCAAGTTTGAGGCTAGCCTGGGCTACACGAGACGCTGTCTCAAGAAAGGAAACAAAAAATCACCCTGCTAAGTAGAAAACCCCTGTACCACTTGGGAAATATGTTTCAGTGTGAAGCCTAACATATCTCCCATTGTACCTGCCCTAGGAAAACTGAGCCAGTTAGGAGGAAACCAGACAAAACCCTATGCTACTTTCCTTCTAGCCAGAAGGTCAAGCCTTTCTGCTTCCTCCGAAAGCCCAGGACACCCACTCTTTTTCTTAGCTGCTGTTAGAAGGCTTTCAAAGTCGTCCGAGGTGCCCAAAGTGGGGTCAATCTGTTTCAAGTTGGTCTCATTTATTTCATCCTTCCGGTTCTCGTGAACTGGACCCAATACTAGGCCCTTCACCTTCAGGGTGCTCAGGTAATCCAGATGCTTCTTCAGCCCTGAGATGGGGAGAGGGATGGGTTAACCAGCAACTTCCGAGGTGGGAGAAGTCTTAAACCTCATTCCCCCTCCCCTTTCCCCACTCTCTCCAAAGGGGGATGGATCACAAGACAAAGTAGCTGATGCAAGGAGACTTGTACATTACTTCAGAAACTGGTTTCAACTGGCTCTGGCGCCTCGTGGTATGGGGAGAGGGGGTGGGTATGCTGAGTCAGCCACCCTTGTGAAAAATTAGATGTCGGGTTAGTTTTCTTCAAAGGAGGAGGGAGTGCCAGGGAGTGGTCCTGGGTAACAGGGTGCAGTGGAGTTTGTCTAGGGAGGGAGAGGGGGAAAGGGATCGGTGCAGAAGACCGATTCAACCATGAGCACCTGGGGAAAGAAAGGGCCGGGTGTGCACCGCACTCACCAGCTACGCCTCCGGCATTGGCATCGGGGCCAAGGAAGGCCTGTAGGTCACCCACGCGGTAGAGGGCGCCCTTGTGCCACCACCTCTGCACCGGTAGCTCGCGACAGCGCGGCGCCCGGACAATGATGACCACGGCGCCCGCCAGCATGCCGAGCCAGCCGAGCCAGAAGAGCAGCAGCAGCACCCAGCGGGTGCGCACCCAGCCCGGGCTGCCCGCCACCTTCAGCAGCTCCTCCTTGGACAGGCCGGTGAACTTGGCCCCGGCCTCCGCCTCGGCATCGTCCTCGGCCACCTTGATCTTCACCAGCCCGTTCTTCTCGCCGCCCGCTGCCCCAACCGCGGCATTCATGGGCTGCTTCTCGGGTTCCAGCTCGTTCAGCTCCACCTCCTTCATGTCCACCTCGGTGTCCTGGCTCATGGTGCCTGTGAACCGGGGCACGATGCGGCCTGCGGTCAGATGGAGCTCCCAGCCCTGAGACCTCCCAGACGGAGTGGCAGCGCCCGCCTTTCGCTGCGGCTTCTCGGCCGGCGGGCGTGGCTGCCGGGAAGAGGCCGCCGAGCTCCGCCCCGCCCGCCCCTTAAAGGAGCCGCGAAATGGGCCTTTCGGAAACTGCCTCAAAGGATGCAGAACCATGGCCTGCCTCCCGCTGCTACAAGGTGCAATTTAGCTGCTCGAACCTGCTTATTCCTAATGCTTCTTCGAGCCAGACTCTGGGAAAACTGAGCACCTTTAGGACAACGAACTCTGATTTGTCCTGCCTGCGTTCCAAAGCCCCTCCTCCGGCCTTCAGGCTACCACCAAAAGGCCACTCCTGAGGCCCAGGGTCCCTCAGGCCCCAGGATGGCAGCTACCTCCATCCACAACATCATCCCTTCACCCCTGGCACGGCTCTATCCACCACCTGGTCTTCCCAACTGGGACAGCCACTTGCACCCTGAAGCCAGCTGCTTCCCCGACACCCCACACCCTGCCTCATCATCTCAGGCCTCCATACTTGGTGTTGGTCCTAGGTCTCCCACAGGGTTTACTGCCACTCCTCTTCCTAATCCTGATGCAGCAACTGTTTACTGGGTACCACTCCAGCCCTCTGCTTCATTAACTTCACTGAATCGACTCGTTTACTGTTCATGATCTAAGACTAATCTGTTTGGACAGCACAGTTGTGTGGACACTACCCTTCTACACTACTCTGTAGTAGGCTAGAGAATGTTGGCCAGCTGGGAATCAGACAACCAGAAGAGACTAGCAGGGCTGTAATAAACATTCCAGAGCTGGGCCTCAAATTCAGGCATCTACCTTTTTCTATATTAGACAGATATCATGACTAGACTTTTCCCCACCTTGCAGGACCTCCCCAAACCCCCAGGGTGCCAGGGCTCCCACATAACTTCATGTGGTAGGCCTTGAAGGCAGCCTGTCCTGCCAGGCTTTGAAGACTTCCCAAATCCCCCGACACAGGTCCTTGGCAAGAGGAAGGGTAAGTAGGGCAGACTGAGTTCACAGCAGGGACAACCGGACATCAACACCAGGAGATGCCAACACTCTCAGGAACCTCTTGTTCCTGAGCACAGCCAGCTGGGCTGTTTTCAGAGAGGAGATGAGTGAACGGGTCCTTTCTCCCTCTCCCACCTAGGCCAAAAGCCAAGACTGCTCTGTATTTGGAAGAAAGCAGAAGCCAAGATCTGAACAGCAGAGAGAAAGGGGTGTGAAAAGTCTCATCCTCCTGCCCTGCTGCATCCCAAAAGATCCTCCCCAATCTCACTGGAGAAAAGCCTATACACCAGCTCCTTGGAGGAAGCAGGCAAGCAGGTAGGGGTTGAGGTGCATACCAGTGCTCAAAGATGATAAGAGGTCCACAATTCCGTGGGCACGCCAGATAAGAAGTCATTCAAGGCTTCAAAACAGACTTTATCCCCAGCATGAAAGCTCAGAGTTCGAGGACTACACAGTCAGAAGCTCTCCTTGAGATGTACAACGGAAAGCCTGATTCTGTTCCTTAGTGTGAGATGGCTCAGTCGGTAAAGCCTGAGAGCCTGAGTTCCATCCCTGGGACCCAGAGCTGAAGGAAAGAACTGACTCTCAAAAGTTGTTCTCTGACTTCCTCAGGCATGTGCTCACTCCCCACCACACACAAAATAAATAAACCTAATTTAAAAATCTTAGGGAACCATCGTATCTCTCAATCTGCTCAGTATCTGCTCAGTGTCTTAGAGAAAGGACCTTGCCTGCTCAGTCTTAACCACACAGCACACCTTTCCACAGGCACTACCATCCAGCTGCATGGGCTTTCAAACACTCACCAGTCTCACAGCATGGTATTTCCAGTCCTGTGCCTCTTGCGCATGCCATCCTCTGCTATCTGGCTCTCCCTGCTCTGTCACTCATCCTCACAAGCTTCTATTCAACTGAGATCTAGCTCAAGTGACACATTTCTCAACTCCTTAGGTAGGATTAGATTACTTTCTTTCACCCGGGCTATGGCTCACCTGGGATTACTGTCCTTTCCCACCCGACACCTAACACCTGGCATCTTTGACTATGACTCAGTCCCATCTGTTTACTATATTTCCTCCTGTGAAGTCTGCTTGCCCTTGAAAACAAGTGGCTATAACTTTGTGCTATTTGTCAATGAACCTGTCTGTTCAGAGATAGCATACTATGGGTCCTTCATAAGAGTTTGGGACACGCCTGACTAAACTGCATCATTCAAACCCACATTTATTTCCCTTCTCAGAAGCAACTGAACAAAGTAGCATTTTAAGATAAAAGGTTAAAAGTGAGGGACTGGAGAGATGGCGCAGCAGTTAAGAGCATTGGCTGCTCTTGCAGAGGAGCTGGGTTCGAGTCCCAGCACCCACATGACAGCTAACAATGTTCGTAACTCCAGTTCCAGGGAATCTGACACCCTCTTCTGACCTCTTCGGCATTGTATGACACAGGTGCACTTACATACATGCAGGCAATACACTCATACACATAAAATAAAATAAATAAAAATTTTAATGCTAAATGTGAAAGGGAATTTAAGCACAAGTGTAACAAGTTGAAGAAGTTTGTGTAGGAAAGCAAACCAAGACCTGTTAGCTCAAACTAAAATAAAATAATAACCATAAGGAATGGAGGACAGGAAACCAAGACTGTGGAAGAAGCCAAAAGTACCAGGCTTGGTGGACCATGCTTGAAATCCCGAGAGAGAGAGATGGGGGGGGAGAGGGAGAGGGAGAGGGAGAGGGAGAGGGAGACTGAGAGAGAGAGACTCCAGGTATGAGTAAAGAGCTTCACATCCTATAAATATAACCTTCAACTTAGAGGCTGAGGCTGTAGCTCAGCGGTGGATCATTTCCCTAAAATGTGCAAGGTCCCAGGTTCAATCCCCAGCACAACATGTACAATAAAGAATTGAAGGAATGGGATTGTAGCTCAGTTGGTAAACTGCCTCATGTGCATAAAGCCATAGGTTCCAGCCCCAGCACCATATAAGCCAGGTATGGAGGCACAGGCCTATAATTCCAACACTCTGAAAGTGGAGGCAGGGGAAGTTCAAAGTCATCCTTGGCTACACAGTGAGTTTGAGGCTAGCATGGGCTGCACAACCCTGACTCAAAACAAGTAAGAACAAAAAACAAAAACATGCGCACACACACAAACCAAGATAAATTATGTGAGGCCAGAGAACTCTAGTCCAAGAAAAGGTCCAGAAGACACATTTACAAACTCAGCAGAAATGTGCTGGTGAGAGGAGCATTAACACCACTTAAATTCAATGCAAGGGCTAAAGAGCAGTGCCTAAGAGCAGCTGCAGCTCTTGCAGAGGGCCAGCACCCACCAGAGGTGGGAGCCAACGCACAACTACCTGTAATTTCAGTTCCAGATAATCCAACACCCTCTTTTGGCCTCCAGACACTGCAAGCACCTGGTAAACTTACATGCAGGCAAAATCTTCATACATATTAAAAATAAATAATTTTATCCCAGCATGGTGGTGCATGCCCATAATCCCAGCACTTGGGAGGCAGAGGCATGAGGAGCTCAGTGAGTTTGAGGTCTACTTGGTGTACATAGCAAGTAAGTTCCAGGACGGCCAGAGTACATAGTGAGATCTTGCCTAAAATAAAATAAATCTTATTTTTAAAAAGTTCAGGGGGTTGGAGAGATGGCTCAGCAATTAAGAGCATGGGCTGTTCTTGCAGAGTACCAGGGTTCAATTCCCAGCACCCATATAGTTGCTAAAAACCATCCATAATTCCAGTTCCAGAAGAATCCGACGCCCTCTTCTGACCTCCTCAGGCATTGCATGACACACATGCAGGCTGCACTACTCATACACATAAAATACAAATAATAAATAATTTTTTTAAAGTTCAATAGCAGCTCTACCTGATGGTAAGAGTGGTAGACACACAGCTGAGCTACTGAAGATGCACAGGGATGAACCACCACATCCATCATGCATAATCAAAGCACCAAGTGACTATGCAACACCAAGTTCAGACACACCCAGAACATCTCCATCATGAGTTGGATACTGGCAGACCCTATGAAGTTGTAACCCAGCAAAAGTCTTTGATGACATGAAATGGTTCATCCAGGCTGAAAAAGAATCAAAAACTACGAGTAACTTATGAAAGCAAGTAGCCCAGACCCCCATAGTAACCACCATAATTTATGCATTCCTCCACTATGCAAAAAAGCAACTATGGTAGTAGCACAGGGCATCTTGTATACTCTATCTAAAGGGAGACATGAAAGACCAAATCTGTGGGTGCCAGCCATTAATGGAGGATAGTTACATATTGAAACCACCTTGAAAAATAGTGGAGAGGAGCTTGGCATCATAAGGCACACTTGTAATCCTAGCACTTTGGGAAGTGGAGGCAGGAAGATCACAACTTTCATGCCACTCTAGGCTACACTGAGAAACACCATTTCAAAAATAAATTAATAGGGAGCCAGAAAGACGACTCAGAGTTTAAGAGCACTGGCTGATCTTGCAGAGGACCGAGGGTTGGTTCCCAGCACCCACATGGCAGCTGTCCATAACTCCAGTTCTAAGAGATCCTACGCCCTCTTCAGGCCTCCACAGGCACTGCATGCACAGTGCTGGTAAAACACACACACAGAAAATAAAAATAAGTATGCAGGGCATGGCAGCACAACACTCCACAGGCAGGGGCACCCAGATCTCTGTGAGTTCAAGGCCAGGCTGGTCTACATATTGAGTTCCAGGTCAGCAGGGGCTACAGGGAGACCCTGTCTCAAAAAACAAAAAACAAAAATAAACAAATGAATTAATTTAATTAAGGTAAATGTCAAAATTTTTTAAGTAAAAATAAAAATAAATTAATAGGGCTGGGGATGTAGCTCAGCTGAAGGGAAAATTTTCCAAGTATGAACAGAGTCCTCAGTTCAATCCCCAAAACCATAAAAAATAAATACAATTAATTTAGGGACCAATCAGCAAAATGGCACCTGCTGACAGCATGATGACCTGAGTTTGATCCCTGGGATCCATACAGTACAAGGAGAGA